ACAATATTTGAAGATTGGATTATTAGTAAAACAACTAAACAAAATTTAAATGATTATTATAAAAAATATGATTATATATGTTTGAAAATATTAGTTCCAAGATTTATTTATAATCAACAAGTTAAAACATATATTTATTATCATTATTATAAATCAGATAATTTTATTCGTAATTTAAATACTGAAACATTATATATAATAGAAGATAAAACTATATTCAATTCTTATTTATTAGAAGTTATTGATGAACTTTTTATATATAATATAATTGAAAAAAGAGTAGTATTTTTATTAACTGCAGAGTTTGTTAAATTTCAAGATAATAATTTGATAGAATTAATGAATATTAAATAGTTTTTTATTTAGTTATAAATTTTATTAAATATGTTAATAAATTAAATTATAATACATTGCATATCTATACTAAAAAAATGATTTATGATATAAATAAAAATATAAATTGTTATAAGAGTTTTAATCACATGTCTGAATAAATGTTAAAAATTTGACAGAAAACTAGTTAATAAAACTAGAATAAATTTTAAAGAATCCTGTTTTAATACTTTATTAAGTTTATTTTGTTTTTGTTCAAGTTTTTTTATTCTTTTTTTAAGATCTTTAATTTTATCATCTTTTTCTTTTATTCTATGTTGAATTGTTGTAATTGTTAAAGATGTTGAGCTTATGATATGTTAAACTTCAAGGTCATTAAATATGTTTCCTATTTTTTCATTTAATCTCAGATCTGATTTTTTTTTATTAAAATTTTAAATACTATATCAAAAAAATATTGGTTTGTTATTGTTCGAGAATTAATAAAGAATTCATTATTTTTTTCTGTTTTTATATCATATTTGTTAAATATTGATAAATTCGAATATTTAATGATATTATTTAACAACAAGCTTCTTAAAAAACTAATTTCTTTATCAGTGCTAATTATGATGGCTTTATATAATTTTAAAATTTTATTAACACTTATTAATATATCTAAATTTTGGTAACCTTGTTTCATTAGAAATGGTTGTGTTTTGGGAATTATCATATTAATATCTTCTCTTTTTTTTCATTCTTCTAGAGAATTGTTTTTGTTTTTTATTATCTGTAATATCATCTAAATCATCTTTTCCTAAGATTTTATCAATTTTGTTTAGATATTTTTAATTTTTTACTAGTGGTCTAATTTTTTAAAAAAAATTCATTCATTATCATTTGGTTCAACTATTTTACTAAAAGTTATTACATCATTTTCTTGATCAAATATTTCTTTTATTGTTTTGTAAAGATAATTTTTCTTGATTATGTTATTAACAAATTTATCTACATTTTCAATTTCACATATTGAATGAAATTGTTTATTTGATTTATTAATAAAATATTGATCATATTCATTATCTTTATAAATTTCAGCAGCTTTTTTATAGAGGTTTTAAAGAATATTTATTTCATTTTGATTACTTAGTTTATTTATTTCAGTATCAAAATAATTATTATCTTGTAATGTTTTTATATAATCACTATAAGGAAATTTTTATATATAACCTAAAAGCAGTTCTTATATCAAACAGGATACTTTGTTTTTATATTTTTCTTTTTTATTAAATAAAGATTTAAAAGCATCATTTATATTATCTATTTTTTTCTGATTTAATATGATCTTTGTTCAGAAAATAATTGCTTTCTCAATTCTTGTAATTGATTTACAGTACGTAGTGAATCCAGAAAAGGTTTTTTTAAAGTTTGGATCAATAGATTATATTTTTTATCATCTTCAAATAATTGTTTATTATTATCTTCTTTCATTTCATTTTCAATAACATTGTACAATAAAGTATTATATCTACATTTTTGTAAGTTGATTAAAGTGTTTTTATCTTTATTAGTTTCTATTAATGTTTGATTAAGGTTTTCAATATTTTTTGCTAGAACATTATCATTTGATAGTAAAACAACTTGTTTTCTATTATAAAAATTTGCAATTTGTCTTTCATATCTATTATATCTTGAAATTTCAACTTCCTTTTGTATTAGTTGGTATCTTTCTTATCTTTTTTGTTGTAATGTAACTACATCTCTATCATCTTTTAGATTTTCATTTTTGAGTTCATGTATTATCCCTTAGATTGTAACACAGGCAAATTTGCTTGCATTAATTTTTTAAAATTAATTTTTATAATAAAATTTTCATAATTAATTTTAGCAATATACTTTCTAAGCAAAAAATATTTTTAAAAACCTACTTTATAAACTTTGCTAAGAAACT